TGTAAGCGTGATAATAGTGAATCAGTTACTGAAAGTAGAAGCCATCAATTAGGAATGAGCTAGCTTGAGGTCATGGTAGAATAAGAGACAGAACAAACATCCTCCGCCAACCCAAAACACGTCAGGGTTGTATTAAAGAATCGAAAAATGATCTCTAATCACTTTCTGATGAAATCCTGCATTCATCGTGAACTCTTCACAATAGTGGGAACAAGGTATTTTTACAAGGTCCTCAGAAGTCTCCACAGCAATCAAATGATCCCCTTAGAAAAAGCTAGCAGTTAAGGGGAAATGATGTGTCTACTGGTACGAGACGACGTGCAGGTTGTTTCTGCCCACCTACCTACCGGAAGTTTCAGCCATATGCGTAAATCACCATCACCTCGACCAAGAAGGGATAATAAATTCGGTCGGTGAGGATCGAGTTTCTCGTTCAGTTTGCGTCTAGACCTCTGTTGTCCAATTATCCCAAATGATCAGGACAACAGAGATTCAGCGCAAACTCCATGAGAAACGAGTAATCTACGAGACAAGATAAAGTTGGACACAATCGAAACTCAATAAAGTAATTAACACCACCATCTGAGAACCAGTTACAAGGCGATCTCGTAGACGATTAAGCCAATCTGACCCGATCCGATGGCCCATGAAGTCTAACTTCTGCCAATTCATGACATAGCGCGACCACTTCGCAATGTCTTCTCCGATGAGATACTGCCTCACCTTCAAACTCCACGGTTCCAGCCCGGGGGGATGCGTACTTCTGAACAGTCACAAACTAGGGCGAATCAGCTGTCCAGTACTCCTTGCAGGTTTTCCAATGCTTCTCTAACTGATGTCAGCTCATGATGAAATCTCTCAACCAATCAAACAGAAATAGCTACAAACACCAATACTTGAAAAAAAAGTAATTATTTCAGTCGATGAAGTTCGAGTTTCTCGTTCAGTTTGCTCTAAGTCCTTCATGTCCATTTATCTGTGAATGATCACGACAATGAAGGTCTAAAGCAAACTCCATGAGAAACGAGTAATCCACGAGACAGGATAAAATTGGACACTATCGAAACAATAAAACAATTAACACCAACATATGAGAACCAGTATGATCTTCCTCATTCACCTTCTAGTATCAATGATATTACAATACTAATAATACCACTGCTAGTAAAAATACTAACAGTTTACTCGTGATAATCATTTCGGTCAGATAGACCAACATCACGTCATTTGATAATCACTCCTCTTCCCTTCCAGTGAGCACCAAATTACAGAAGACGATATTCTGAAACAACACTAATTATGGGAAGGCGAATGAATTGGTTACAGATTCCAGACGTCATCAAGCTGTTCACTGCATCATTGGTCACCTTGAAATTCTCCCCAACTCAGCGTTCCTCGTAAGCAAATGATGACATCTCGGATTTATTGCCAAATCTGAATATGTATTATTTTCAAATTGTGTCAGCCTACCTTTCAAATCGGAGAGAATTTTCGTGCATCTCTTGAGTAGATTATCCATATTTCCGTTGAATGAGTGATTTCTTCCTCGATCCAGTTGGCGATGATATCAAGTTAACTGGATGTTGCATATTTGTGAATTAGGTAGTGTGACATGCGTTCCTGGGAATAGCTGGACCTCGTACATGGTGTAGAGAAAGGCTAAGAAGAACTGCATTTTCAACTCTACATCATCACGACAACTAAGATTTTGACAGCCACTCAGTCAGCCAGACAGAGAGTTAGTGTGACAATTCACTATGTAATCAGTTTATAAATCCTGGAGATGCAGCAAAGTTATTTATCATTGGATGATCACAAATAACCAATAAAATCACACTGTAACAACAGAAGACAAGGGCAAGGGGCCACATATCGTTTATTAAAGAAATCAATACGTATTTAGAGATTTACATTTACATATTATGGATTATTGTTAGAAGAAAAACATAGACTTCTATTGGTTGTTTCTTGAATGTCAGACCGTCTATATGTTAAGTGTGTCCGCCTACGCAAAGCCTTTGTTCTCATTTTTCTCACGATCAATATTGGCGACATAGACAATTACATAGATTACTGTCTCACCACAACACTACTGAGTCAGACTGTCATGTGACGCTCAACGGGCAGAAGTTATAACACAATACAAAACAATAGAATACATTTTGCTTAGTCCTTGAAATGCAAATGGATAGGATTGTGAGCTTAGTCCACTAGGTTTTGGACAAATTTATTCTAGTGTATGTGAAAATTAGTGGGCGTCCAGGCTGGCCTTATATACTGCTCTAGATTTCAAAGTGACCATAGAGAAAGGCAGAAACAGCGAAGAAAATTTTCTTTTCGATGATTCATTTTCATGAGCTGTACAATCGTAATTATAACAAACTAAGATATCTTTAGACCAGTCAGATACTGGTAAACTTTGTCCTTGAAAATTGTACTACCCAATGTAAGGTGTAAGAAGGAATGACTAAGTATTTTTGTATAAACTTTGTATGAAAAAGCAATGTTAATAATAAACACCAATAGATTGGCAATAAAATGTGGATGATGTGAATAATAATGATGATAAAAGTATTAACAATAACAATAAAAATAACAGTAATAATATTCTATAGTTTTGTTTTATAAGAGTTAGTTATTTTTTTACGAGTTGATCACGGATTGATATCAGTTAGAGAAGCATTGAAAACCAGAGAGTACTGGACAGCTCCTGTTCTATCCTGGTTTGGGAATCATCGGAAGCACGCACCCACTAGGATTCGGACCCAGGAGCTTCCGGTTACAAGGCAAGCTCGTATACCATTCAGCCACTGGGACCCGATTTAATGGCTCATAAATTCTTACTTCTACCACTGAATCGTGTCTCAGTGGCTGAATGGTATACGAGCTTGCCTTGTAACCGGAAGCTCCTGGGTTCGAATCCTAGTGGGCGCGTGCTTCCGATGATTCCCAAACCAGGATAGAACAGGAGCTGTCCAGTTCTCTCTGGTTTTCAATGCTTCTCTAACTGATATCAATCCGTGATCAACTCGTAGAAACATAGTATTAATAATAATAATATTGAACTTACATATTCAAGGGAAGAAGCAAAATTATAGTAAGAACTTTACTATGGCCATGGTAGGGCCAGACAATGTATGTATCGCTTTTTGATGCACAGGTCCGGTTTCAGGTCTCTTATAGCTAATGCTTCAGCTATGTACAGATGGCGTATCCGAAGTCCCTTTGTACGATATTGAGGGACTCTGTGTGCCACTGTGAAGCATTCATGTGGGCGTGCTCGATGTCCGGAGATGACAAGGTGTTCGAGGATCGAGCTGTCGCTATTCTTCTTTTCTTCTCTGGCTAACCAAGCTGGGCAGTGTTCCAGGATACGTTTGTGGACTTGACGTTGCTTACGGCCGATATACTTTGCTCCACACGAGCAAGTAAGTTGATAAATACACATTGAAGTGGCCAAAAGGGGTATCTTGTCCTTAGCGTTAGACTGGATTAACTGTCTGCAGGAAAATGTTATACGTAGAGTGGCTGTTGGAAATGTCTTCTTCAGACTTTTTGAAAGGCGGTTTCTGAGAATTTCCGTTGCGATTTCACCTTTGAATGCTAGGTTCATGAAGAGAGTCTTCTTAGGAACCGTTGTGATTTTTGAAACCGGAGGCTTCTCCTTCATGCTTTTGTCGATGAATCTCGGTGGATACCCATTCTCTAGTAGGGTTTCAAGTAATAAATCTAATTCTTTCTCTACCATGTCTTCCCAGCAGATGTTTATAATCCTTGAACACAATGTACGTACCAGGTTTCTCTTTCGGATCAGTGGGACAAAGCTCTGGAAGTTGATAAACTGTCCAGTCCATGTTGGCTTACGGTATATCGAACTTTGGATCGTACAGTCGTGTCTTCTGGTGAGTAGTACATCGACGAATGGAAATGAGTTGTTCGATTCGCGTCTTAAGGTGAATCTTATTGGTGGATGCGCTGCGTTGAAGGTTTGGAGGAGAGAATCGTAATTGTAGTAGTAGAAGTAGTTGTAGTAGAAGTGGTAGTAGTATTACTAGCAGTATTATTATTAGCATTATTAGAAGTACTATTGTTAGTAGTAGTCTTATTAGACGTAGTAGTAGACGTAGTATTATTAATAGAAGTAGTAGTAATAGTAGAATTAGGTTTTAGTAGCAGAAGTGTTAATAGTATTAGTAGCATCAGTAATATCAACATTAGTAGTAGACGTATTCGAAGTAGTAGTAGAAGTAGTAATATCAGTCGAAGTCGTAGTAGTAGTAAAAGAAGTACTATTATTATTATTAGTAGTAGTAGCAGTAGTATTAGTAGTAAAAGCAGTAGTAGAAGTAATAATAGTAGTAGTAGTAATAGCATTAGTTATAGTAGTAGAAGCGGTTGATCTAGTAGTAGTAGTAGTAGTAGTAGTAGAAGTAGCAGTTTAAGTAGTAGTAGCAGTAGAAGAAGTAGTAGTAGTACTAGTAAAATAGTTAGTAACAAGAGTTGTATTAGTAGCAGTAGTTTTCGGAGTATTAGTAGTGGTCGTATTAGAAGAAGTAGCAATATTAGAAGTATTATTATTATTATTAGTAGTAGTAGTAGTACTAGAAGTAATAGTAGTAGAAGTAGTAGTAGTATTATTACTAGTAGCAGTAGTAGTAGTCGTAGTAGAAGTAGTAGACGTAGTAGTATTATTATTATTAGTGTTAGTAGTAGTGGTAGTAGTATTCTAGTAGAAGTAGTAGTGTGGTGAGAGCAGGCTGCTAGCCGATTGGTTGGCACTAATCTACGTTAAGGTCTAGGTCACTAATATGGGCCGTGAGAAAATATGAACAAGCCTGAGTAAACAACCAATCAGAAGCCTGCGTTTGTCTACCTAAACAACCAATCAGATGACTGCGCTTGTCTATAATAATGTAGTTGAAAGATGTATAAATACGTGTTGATTTTCATAATAAAACGATCTGTTGCCAGCCCTTGTCTTCTGTTGTTACAGTAGTAGTAGTGTAACAACAGAAGACAAGGGCCAGGCAACAGATCGTTTTATTATGAAAATCAACACGTATTTATACATATTTCAGACAACATTATTATAGACAAGCGCAGTCATCTGATTGGTTGTTTAGGTAGACAAACGCAGGCTTCTGATTGGTTGTTTCGGGATTCCTTGATAAATAGAGTTCTCTCTGCGAATCGTATTCTGCCACGTTAACTTTGCTGTGATTGGTTGTTGACTCAGGCTTGTTCATATTTTCTCACGGCCCATATTAGTGACCTAGACCTTAACGCAGATTAGTGCCAACCAATCGGCTAGCAGCCTGCTCTCACCACACTCGTCCCCCCGTCAAATACGTGCGACTGAAGTCGGCTTGATCTACTTGGTGCAGGCGTCATCGTTGGCTTGTCTCGCTGTATCCATTTCTGGAGCTCGCTGACGTTCACGCACCTCTCATTGTTCGCCATTGCGACTGTGTCTGCGTAACCCCATCTCGAAGTGACCATATATGGTCCTTCCCACTTTGGAAACTGTTTGCCTGACCCTGTCGAACATTCGTCCATACTTCGGCTCACACTTTCATATGCTGCTTTCACCCGACCTCCCAGCAGCGTCCCAAGTAGCAGCTCCATCGCTGACAGATCTTGAACGCCACTCAACTGCGCAGAAGCCTTGAAGTCCTGCCCGAAGATCCATATGTCTCCATCAAAAACTGCAGGGTATAGGCTTTTCATTTGTCGGTAGGCAGCGACACCAAATGTAACAACAGAAGACAAGGGCCAGGCAACAGATCGTTTTATTATGAAAATCAACACGTATTTATACATATTTCAGACAACATTATTATAGACAAGCGCAGTCATCTGATTGGTTGTTTAGGTAGACAAACGCAGGCTTCTGATTGGTTGTTTCGGGATTCCTTGATAAATAGAGTTCTCTCTGCGAATCATATTCTGCCACGTTAACTTTGCTGTGATTGGTTGTTGACTCAGGCTTGTTCATATTTTCTCACGGCCCATATTAGTGACCTAGACCTTAACGCAGATTAGTGCCAACCAATCGGCTAGCAGCCTGCTCTCACCACAGTAGTAGTGTTAGAGTTATTAGACGTAGTAGTAGTAATATTAGAACTAGTGGTAGTAGTGTTAGTAGAAATATTTCTAGTAGTATTAGTAGTGGAATTAGGAATAACACCAGAAGTAGTAGTAGTGGTAGAATTATTAGACGTAGTGGTGTAATTATCATTATTATTATTATTAGTAGTAGTAGTAGTTGTGTTAGTAGTAAAAGCTGTAGTAGAACTAATATCAGTAGTAGTTTCTATAGTATTAGAAGTGGTAGTAGTGGTAGTGTTAGTAGTGTNNNNTTTTTCTTATCACTCTTCTATTTATTTATTTATTTACATGCATTTGGAATTTATTGTTAGTTATTTTAATGTGAAGTGAGTAAACTTGTAAATAAAGTACTACATGCTCAGTAAAAAAGGCGCAATTTCTATAGTAGTTTTGCAAAGTTACAAACATTTCCCGACCCACAAATATTCTCTGTAAATTTACTTCTAACACAACGAGCACATTAACACTAACTAAGCATAATGATGAGCACTAACCAATATTGAGGTGAAAATACAAATTTCTGATTAAGTTAGCCAATGTGTTGACCAATGAAAGCAAATCGTCCGACTGTTAATTTTTAGACAGAAATTTTCCCTAAAGTTAATCAACTTACTGGTGAATGAGTAATAAGATTTTCACTCACACACTGTACGTGAACAATGTGAAGTTTCATTCCCATGAATAGGGAAGGATGTAATTCGATATAAACTATAATACTGCTTGCTTTAAAATCACTTGCTTTCTCCATGAGTTTCTTGAGGCTTTCAAATACGATTTTCATTGAGTGGTGGTGATAAGTAAAACCCAAGGGGAAACAGGAGGTTATCATACTCTGACTAACTCCTAATGTCTAATACTCAACAAACGCAGTTGACTTTAGATCAAAGCTGAAGTCTTGGGAGAGGGAGGAAGGGTTGGTTACCTTTCGCTCTTTCACAACACTCTTCTGTTCTGTTCTGTTCTGTTACACTTTAAAACTATTTTCCTCTGGATTATGTTCAAGGCTTGTTTCTCTGTGTTGCTTTATTCATTCAAAATAACTACAAGCATTCAGTGATCAATTTCAAATAATATTAAGTTGTATCACTAATTTATTTCTGCTTAGCTATGGATATGAACCACGTTCACCTTACTGAACAGTTGTCTTTCATTCGAAAAAAAACTTCGATTAGTGTTTTCAACTGAGTTCATTTAGAAGTAAAACTGGGTGAACTATGAATGCATTTGTATTTTCTAGGTATTTTTTCAGAAACGCGCGAACTTTGAAAATGGAGTTAATTTTCACGCTCTTGTTTATAATTGGATTTTGTTGTGTTATACGCTTCAAAAGTCCACAGATTTAACTTTAAATCAGTTTATTCTGGTCGAAGTTAGTTCACGTTTCAGATCTGAGTCTATGAATTATAGGAAGTGTTCTTATATTATAATAGCTACATATATCTATCTTTGTGCACTCATTAGCTTTTATCACTAATTTACAAAGGTTATATATATATATATATTTGAAGTTGTATTTAACTTTTCCTGGTTCGTTTTAAATAAAATGCCTATCAAATGAAACCGCTGTGGAAGGGCTATGTGCCAGTTTCCAGTGGATGAGGGAATGCAGTGTGATAACTGCAAGAGATGGTTTCACAGTATGTGCACGAACCTTACTCCAGCAGCATACAAACGCTGCTGCAAACCTCTAGCGAACTGGTTATGCAACGACTGCTGTAGTACAACTAAACTCCGTATTACAGAAGCCATAGCTACTCTTAGTGGGGCTTTAAAGCTCATGGACTGCAAGCGTCCTCCACCACAGAAGAATACCGACTATTGCTCAGATAGCGATGACGTCACTAGCGTCATTGACAAAACAGCACATGTCCCAGATGCGACCTTGCCAATAAGTGAGTGCTCTACAGCACAGAAGAACACCCACCATATTAAAGACACCCAGGTCGCCCCCACGATACTGGATGAGCTCTCCAGTGACAGTAATGGAAAGACTGCCGTGAAGAAGAGGCGTACTAGGGGTCTAAAACCTGCAGCTCCAGTCGCCCAGGGACTGGCGGAACAAGCCTCATCCACACCGGTGAGCAGCAGACAGACGAACCCCACTAAGATTAGCGAGGAGGACGCCAATGAATGGCGCACCGTAGTCTCTCGCAAAATGCGAGATAAGGATAACACTTCGGCCACACCGCCCAAGAAGGATAGAAACACACTTATACCTCAGGGCAAGAAAGTCACGGAAAGCAAACCCGATCTCTCTGATAGGTCTCTCATTCTCCACAAAGTGGAGGAGTCACTGGCTCTCGACCCTAAGACCAGATTCGAGCATGACCTTAACTTGGTCAAACCCTTTTTAGACAAGCTACTGCCACAAACAGTATCAGGCATTACTATACACAGCGTATACAGAATAGGTCAAAAGCCTGACCCTACAGTAAGTGAACCTGTACGTCTCCTCAAAGTCGTACTAAACTCTAAAGCGGAGAGGGACGCTATTCTAAGCAACTCTCATATTCTCAAAGGATCAGGGATATATGTCCGCGCTGACTTAAGCCTAGCAGACCGTGTCAAAAGACAGGCTGCGGCACTCGAATTAAGTGAGCGACGCTGGAACGGTGAGAAGAACCTTAATATTAAGGGTTTTCGGGTTGTCCGAGTTCGCAGTTTAATGATCCCGAAACCTCTGTGGGTAGGCCGGGGAAGCACCAATCTGAATTAACAGTCTGCTACACAAACGCCCGCAGCCTGTTAAATAAAAGGACAACGAAGTTAACCTGCCAAACTTCGAAGTGCACAGGGTAGACCGACTAAACCGCAAAGGAGGGGGCGTAGTCATCTACCTCAAGAAAGGCTTAACCGTGCGTAGTATCGAAGCACTCGCCCACGAAAGTGAGTCGTGCGAACTTCTACGCTGCAGACTTAAATGCATAGGTCAAGACATTGACCTCATTGCTGTGTACCGCAGTCCTGACTGCAGTGCAGACGACTTCCTAATAGAGAAGCTAGGCTCCTGGACTTCAAAATGTCGAAGTCTCGTAGTCGGTGACTTCAACGCCCCAACAGTTGACTGGTCGAGCCTAACAACTCCATCTTCAGTCATCTCCTTTGACCATAAACTGCTAGAATCTAGTATATCGCTAGCCCTAGTCCAACATATCATTAAGCCCACGCGCTATGACTCACAGCACTCCTCATCAACTCTGGACCTAGTGTTCTCACACGGTGAGGATGTGGATCTCATACAACATCTTCCTCCGTTAGGAAGAAGTGACCATGCTGTGCTCACTTTCAAGTTCACAGCAACGGCAGCAAGGGCCAAAACCCCAGCTCAACCAAACGTATGGAAAGCTGATATAAATGCGATCGTCTCAGCAGCCAACTCAGTAAACTGGTACATCAATCCAGAGTCTTAAGTAGAAGCCGCATGGAACCAATTTAAGCAACTTTACGCCCAAGTAACTGTACCCTTCATCCCTTGGTCTGTTCCAAAGGGTCGGAAACATTCCCCCCCTTGGATAAACCGGGAGATTCGTAAGTTACTCAGACGTAAACGCAAATGTTGGAACCTGTTTGCAACACTTGAGACTTCTGAGACCAGGGAATTATATACTACTGCTAGAAATAAAGCTATCGCAGAAATCCGCCAATCAAGGATGAAGTTCGAGACACACTTGGCTCAAAATGCAAAGGCACAACCTATGAAAATTTTCTCGTACTTGAATTTCAGGAATAAAACACCCAATGGTGTCCCAAACCTGATTATTGACAAAGATACAATCGAAGAAGATCAAGAAAAAGCAGTAGCAATGGCAAACTACTTCTCCCAAGTCTTTACTCAGGATTCATCACTGCTTATAGGATCAGCCCTGGCTGCATCAGAAGAACATGGGATAGATTCCGTTGACATCGACCAAGGCACCGTGCTCAACTTCTTAATGAAGCTAGATGCAGGAAAATCAATGGGTCCTGACAGTCTTCATCCAACCGACCAATAAATCTGAAATCTAAACATAAACAGCATTATTTAATCAGTCAATGTTTATTTATTTTTTTTATTGTGATCACTTTTCGGCTTTTGACTGTTGTTGTCATGAAAATATTTCAAAGAAAAAAGTAATGACTACTCAAGTTTTAACCAGGGTGGACGATGGAAGAGGTGTAAAGATTAGAAAGACGGTGGAGGTCATGACCTGTCTAGAAATAGTTGTCAATGCTATTCAACGCATGAGTGAATTCAAATAATTCTTTCTATTGAACTTACTTAATCAGTTGAAAAGTTGACTGAGTCGATTTTGACTATTTCACTTACTTAATACATAACTGCAGTACACTTATTCGGCTGACCTTATACACTGACTAACACTGACACCTACTTTCGGACAAGTCATCACTAACACCGTCTTTTAATCTCTACTGCCCAGCCACACTCGACCCTAATTAAAATTTGAGTATTCATCACATTTTTTGAAATACTTTCATGACATAAGCAACAAGCCTAATTACTTTTTATTTTTTTATTTTTGACAATCATAATGTGCACATAATGTACACCGTAAAGAGAATGAATTCGTCAAAAAGAAACTAATCACTCCTTTCATGTCTTAAATAGAATCAGAATGTATGTATGCTGTTTAGATTTCAACGAGTTTGCTAAACTGCACAAACAAACACTTATCAAACA